ATAAAATTAACTATGTTTTAAAGTTATATCGTAAATATTTTCTAAATAGGTTAAAACAATTTATGTATAAAAATGTAAAAAAGAAGAATTGTGATTAAAAACACTTTTGAAATTTTTTTTATGAATGTAAAATTATTTATAAGTGACAAAATACATATCGAAGAGTTATACTATACAGATGAGAAATTCTAGCGGGTCAAACCCCAAAGATTCGGATGAAATCGGTACTCAGTACGACTTGTGGGTGACTAAGAACTTTGCCTGAGAATTGGTATTTTTTGTTTCTCCACAGTTCTTTAAATAAAATTAACGGAAAGTTGCGATTGAAATAACCGTCAATAAATTAACGGAAAGTTGCAATAGAGAGAGACAACCGATAAAAAATAACTGTCGATATTTCAACGTAAAATTGCGATAAAAAAGACATAAACGAAAAAAGTAACTGTTAATATTTTAACGGAAAGTTACGATAAAAAGACACAGCCGAAAAAATAACCGTCAACAAAAAATATGACTGTAAATGTTTTAACGGAAGAGTTGCGATAAATCAACACAGCCAAAAAAAATAGCCGTCAATATTTTAACGGAAAATTAAGGTAAAAAGACACAAACGAAAAAAGTAACCGTCTATATTTTAACGAAAACTTTCGATAAAAAGACACAAGCAAAAAGATAACCGTCAACGAAAAAATAACCGTCAATATTTTAACGAATAGTTGCGAGAAAAAGACACAACCGAGAAAAATAACCGTCAATATTTTAATGGAAAATTGCGTTAGAAAGACACAACCGAGAAAAAATAACCATCGATATTTTAACAGAAAATTGCGATAAAAAGACAGAAACGAAAAAAGTAACCGTCAATATTTTAACGGAAAGTTACGATAAAAAGATTCAACCTAAAAAATAGTTGTCAACCAAATAAATAACCGTCAATGTTTTGACGAAGAGTTGCGATAAAAAGACACAACCAAGAAAAAATAACTGTTAATATTTTAACTGAAAGTTGCGATAAAAAGACACAATCGAGAAAAAATAACCGTAAATATTTTAACGAAAAGTTACGATAAAAATACACAACTGAGAAAAAGTTCAGTCAATATTATAACGAAAAGTTGCGATAAAAAAAACAGAAACGAAAAAAGTAACCGTCCATATTTTAACGGAAAGTTGCGATAAAAAGACACAACCAAAAAAATAACCGTCAACGGAAAAAGTAACCGTCAATATTTTAACGAAGAGTTGCGATAAAAAGACACAACCGAGAAAATATAACCTTCAATATTTTAATGGAAAGTTGCGATAAAAAGACAACCGAGAAACAATAACCGTCAATACTTTAATGGAAAGTTGCGACAAAAAAACACAAACGAAAAAAATAACCGCCAATATTTTAACGGAAAGTTGCAATAAAAAGACACAACCAAAAAATAATCGTCAACAAAAAAAATAACCGTCAATATTTTAATGAAGAGTTGCGATAAAAAACATGCCCGAACAAATAAGCGTTAATATTTAACCTAAAGTTGCGATAAAAAAGATAAAACCGTTCTGAAGTGTAAAATGCATTTATTGAGATTGTTATCGCAACTTTGTAGTCTAATGGTTTAAGTAAAAAAAATCTGTAGTATTACTAACTAAACAAAAAATGCAATGAAAAATATATAATGGAAAGACGTAACTTTAAATGAATAAATGCAACTACTGGAAAGATACGACTGTAATTGAACAAATATAACCGTAAATAATTCAACGAAAACTCAAAGAGAAAATTCAATAAAAAAACACAACCGTAAATATTTAAACAAAAGGTTGCGATAAAAAAACGCAACCGTTCAGAGATACAAAAGACATTTATTGAGAATGCTATTATATATAGATTATTGTGTATTGTATTACCCTCATCTATATGTCCTTCTTGCCACTTTTTTTTTTGTCATTTATTTTTCTATATTCGTCTCTATTTTATTTTTCTTAACAAAATTTTGTTCTCCATTGTAACAACTTTGGGCTCATACAACTTTGTTCAACTCAATGTTATTTTTATATGTAAAATTTAACTGTTTGTATACGGAAAGTAATTTCCACGAGCAAACGATACAAACTATCAGTCTATCAATAAGTAATAAGTAATAACCAGCAACAAACATATTCCTTAAAACAGAGATATTTGGGCATCGATGAGTTGAATAAAAGAGTATAGTGCTTCCATTGTTGTAGAATTTTGAGATTTTTTTTTATACATAAAGCATGAATTTCCCTTTAAAACTGAGCCTCAAGTCGATTAGTTCTCAAACAAAGAAAATGAAGAAAGCGATTAATGTTTTTTTAGAAGAAGTTAAAACCTTCAAGCATTATATGAAACAATCAAAGTTAAAAATGGAACAGTTTGAACGCAAGCATTGATCTAAAAGGGAAATGGATTGCTATCGAATTAAGTTACCTGAATTACATATTGTACCAAAGAAAGAACGGAGACGGATTAGTAGTACATTCACCATTGGCTACACAATAGAATTGAAGAAGAACGGAGACGGATTAGTAGTACATTCACCATTGGCTACACAATAGAATTGAAGAAGAACGGAGACGGTGCACGTAAGCTTTCCACGGAGTCTCGGTCCTTTATGCTTTCGACGAGAGGCCAGAAGTTTTCTGATGGTTTTTGCCTTGGCGTTTATGTTATTGGTTTATTTTGATTATTGCTCTGTTTTGCTCTCTATGTTTACTCTGTTTCCAAACTCTGCAATTTCTTTCATTATGATTTAATATATGACGTTAAAAAAAAAAATCCACACTAAAATACTAAAGTCTATTATTAAGCAGGTGCAATCTAGCATATTAAATTCCGAAATATCCGTTTGAAATTTCGAACAGTCATAAATCAATTAAAGAGAGAAGAAAAACTAATAAATTCTGGATTCTCACAAACTTTTGGAGATGAAACTAGTTAAAATTATTTTATAGAAAATTTTAATCTTTGATTAGATTATTTTGTCACACAACAACATTGAGCAGGATTAGTAGTACATTCACCATATAATAAAACGCTTATGTTTTTTCTACACCATGTCATGCATCCTTGGGTTCCTCCTCCATTCATACACGGCTCTGGACCGAAGCATTTTTTCCAATCTTGCTTGATTCCAATACCTATTGAAACAAATCATTATAATCATCTAACGGATAAAAATATGTTCATAACAAAAAAAATTTGAGAGTATAATAAGATTGGTACGTACCAAAAGTGCTATCAGAACAATGAACTGACGATGTGACAAAAAGAATGGTGAAAAGTAATACGACAAGCATTTTTTTTGTGACAGCCATTTTTATGATAATCTTTTTGATAACTTTGTATAAGATTTTTGTTTCTGGTTATTGTTTAGAGTCGGTGGCTGATTATATATATATACACAAGCTTTGGATTCGCCAATTAGGGATTTGGAATTCCTATGAAAGCAAAAACTAATAAAGACACAAGATTCACTAACAAATATGTTAAGAAAAGAAACACTAATATGTAAAGAGAGGGATACGATAATATCTTCCAATACTTTTTAACTATGGAAAAGGTATGTAGAAAAAAGTACGTTTTGTGTTATACATGAACCAAAGAATCTTTCAATTAATTTCCTTATTTTTATAATAAATGTATTGATTTTGTTACCTTATTACTTTTTAACATTTGTGAGATCATATTTATTATTTTATACATAGTAAAATATGAAATCGTTTCTCCATATTATTAGTGAAAATTTGATATTATTTTATACATAGTAAGTTAGTAACTAACGGTCAACACTATCTCCATTTTTTTTTTTTTTGTGTGCACCAACACTATCTTTATTTAATTATTTTTACTAAACGAATCGAATATAATGTTGACATGTTAGTCAACTCTATCTCACACCAAAATTCGACGACGTAAAAGTTTATTTTATTAAAATATTAGGTGCCCACGCGATGCATGGTTTATGTTTTAGTTGAATCTGATCATTGAATTTTTAAAAAGAATTATAATTTTATTTATTTGTTATTGATTAATCTTTCTTTCATTTTTATCTTTAATTTTATTAAAAAATTTAAAATATCTATTTTCCTATTTAGTATTATAATTTTCTCATTTATTATAGAGTATAACAGTGATATATAGGTTGGGTGGAAATGATTCCATAATTATTTTATTAAACCGGTTATTTTGGTTATGTTTGGTAAAATATTAATATATTCATTTAAAAATAATAAAAGAAGAAATGATGGTTTTCTTTTTGTCATTTATTCTTCTTCATAATTTTTTCCTTGAATTAAGATCTTGTGCAATGTCATTGATATCTCCAGTATTTAGAAGTCTTTGTATGGCTTCATTAAACTTCTCATGCAGTCTTTTGGTTTTTGAACGTGTCACTGGTCCATCTCTTATAGTTAGTATGTTGGGTGGTTCATGATCGGATTAGATGTCCTCATCAGAACCAATTCTAACGGAGAAATATACTCGCATAAAAATTACTTCTCACATTTTTTTTTGCTAATCGATTATAATCAGATGTGAATTATATGATTGGCTATCATTTTCTTAATGAAATGTTTAATTGTGAAGATTATCTTTTATGTATTTTATATAAAATAGCAAAAATAAATATATTAGAAAAGAAAAAACTCACGGTGTAAACAACTAACAAGGTCTTAATCATATATAAAAAAAAAAACTATCAAAGGTCCTAATGAGTTTTGAAAAAAAAACATTTTATAAGTATCAAATTGCTAATACCAAAAAAAAAAAAAAAGTAATTTGGCGGGGAAAAGAATAATAATAATTAAAAAGAACATGTCACATGTGAAAGGACCAATCACATTACTAATCCGGCTAAACAAGAAGAAAGCATGCCGCGTCAATAAATTCGAGTTCTTTCGGTTTTTGGGTTCCGTACAACACACTTTACTCTTATCTGTCTTAAACTTTTAAACACTTTAAAGTTGGTCACTCCCACTGTGATATTGAATCGCCACTTAAAATTCCTCTGTAAGAATCGTGAGGATCAAACAGTCCGTAGCAATCTCCAATTTCGTAACTTTAGGTATCTATCAAACGTTCAAGCTTTACTTGTGATTTTCTCCAGAATCATTTCACTGTTCTTTCTCTACTGTGTTTTGGTTCTTATACCCTAATTTGCTGATTTTGTAAGTGTTTTAGCACTTAGATTTTACTGTTAGAGACATGATTATTCATAAGAGTATTTGTCTCCTAATTGTGTCAATTTGGTTTAGCAAATATGTCGTGGATTCCTTTGACATATCACTGTATATGTTACAGATACTCAGAAAAGTCTTAAAAGATGGCGAGGCTGTCTTGGCAAGCCGTGGCGGTTGTGGGGGTGCTGTTGGTAGTAGTCCTGTCGTTTGCAGATGGGTACCCAGAAGCAGATTTTGTTGTGAAGCTGCCAGGGCAACCAACGGTAACGTTCAGACAATACGCCGGGTATGTTGATATCGACAAGGTTGTTGGGCGGAGTCTTTTTTACTACTTCGTGGAGGCTGAGAAACGTCCCGACACAAAACCGTTAACATTGTGGCTCAATGGAGGTTCGTTTTATGTTGCTCTATTAATACATGAAGCGATTTCCCTAACTAATTGGCATTTGAGTATCAGAAATGTGTGAAATGAATAAATTGAGGTTTGTATTACAGGTCCAGGTTGTTCTTCTGTTGGTGGAGGAGCTTTCACTGAGCTAGGTCCATTTTACCCCACAGGCGATGGTCGTGGCCTCCGCATTAACTCCATGTCTTGGAACAAAGGTTTGTTTTTGACAATTTTAGGCAAAAAACAGAGAACTCTTTGATTTTATATCTGATGTTATTGTCTCTTGTTGTAAAAATGTAGCATCGAACCTGCTATTTGTGGACTCACCGGCTGGAGTTGGATGGTCTTACTCCAACCGAAGCTCTGATTACAACGCCGGGGACCAGTTTGCTGGTAAATTTTAACTCCCAAACTTCAGAGGATTTGTATATTAGAAGATAGTTGGTTTTTTGACTTGTTTTGTATATGAACAGCCAGTGATATGCTTGTGTTCTTGTTGAGATGGTTCGATAAGTTCCCGGAGTTGAAGTCTCGCGACCTCTTTCTCACTGGCGAAAGCTATGCTGGTGTTTCTTCGATATCGATCAAATCTATTAAATGTTTACCTTGAAAACATTGCTGTTTCTCATATACATTTTCTGGCAGGACATTACATACCTCAACTCGCTGATGCGATTCTCAGCTACAATTCACGCTCGAGCGGGTTCAAATTCAACATCAAAGGCATTGCGGTAAGCAAAAGAACCTTATTCTTGACGTTCCATCAACTCTTTTGGTTCTCTTCTGAATCGTTTCTTTGTTCTTTTTCTTTCTGGTCAGATTGGGAATCCACTTCTTAAGCTTGACAGGGACATTCCAGCTGTATACGAGTTCTTCTGGTCGCATGGCATGATCTCTGATACAGTGGGACGCACAATCAGGAGTCAATGTGACTTCTCACATTACACATATGCGTTCCCACATAACGTAAGCGATGCTTGCAACGACGCTACCACTGAAGCGGGAATCGTCATCACTGAATATGTCAACAACTTTGATGTTCTCCTTGACATTTGCTACCCGTCAATTGTCCTGAAAGAACTAAGGCTTAAGCAAATGGTTAGCCGTTTTCCATCTTATGTTCCACCAACAAAACTTTTGTTTGAATTTATCTTTAAACTTTTGAAGATGGTTTCAGGCCACAAAGATGAGCATGGGAGTGGATGTCTGTTTGACCTACGAAAGACAGTTCTTTTTCAATCTCCCAGAGGTACAGATGGCGCTTCACGCGAACCGCACTCATCTGCCTTATGAATGGTCTTTGTGCAGCAAGTAAATTCTTTTCCTCTCTTTCAGTTTCTGAAAATGAAGAATCTTTATAACCAGATTTGAACTCTTTACTCTGATTGCTTTCACTATGTGTCACAGCCTGTTAAACTACTCTGGCATCGATATAAACACCAACATGCTTCCGACTCTGAAGAGAATTATACAGAACAAAATTCCTGTTTGGATCTTCAGGTAATACTTCTATTAAAAATCTCCTACTGCTCCTGTATTTGCACCTAACACACAGCTTGTTGACAATTGCAGTGGAGATCAAGATTCTGTAGTTCCATTTCTTGGAACAAGAACTGTCGTACAAGAACTCGCCGACGATCTCTGGTTTGCAGGCAATTGATAAGAACATGATCCCGAAGAAAATGTGAGTTCTCGTGTTTTCAAACCTCTTCTCTAGATAAAGATTTTTGTTTTCCTTGAGGACAAACAAAGATCTAAGTCGGGGGGAGTTGATGTGTTGTGTTTTTATCGGTTTTGAATCTTTGTTTTAGGTGTCGTTCTGAGTCATTAGTCATGTCTAGTCCATCTTTTGCGTCTTTTTGGTCTTGTCTTGAGTCTTTTACAGGTCATAGGTGTTTGAGCGGGATCTGGAGATTTTCGTGCATTTTTGGACTTGTTCGGGTCAAAACAGGAGAGAGAAGTTGATTTTGCAGACACAGCCAGTTAGACCGACCAATCACAAACTAGACCGATCAGATACCCACTAGACCGATCGGTCCAAAGCTGAAAACGTGGACCAGAGCCGGTTGGACCGATCGGTCCTCCACTAGATCGATCGGTCCGGAGCTTCGACGGCGAGCAGACTTGGTTGGACCGATCGGTCCTCCTCTGGACCGATCGGTCTGATTTCCTGACACCCGGTTTTGGTTTTCCTTAACCGGATTTATCTTCTATTTTCTGTAATTGGGTATAAAAACCCTAAAAACCTATTTTTTCATTCACGCTTCTTTCTCTGCAAATTTTTGAGACTTTTCTTCTGTGAGCTACTATTGGGATTGGAGATTCATCCTCTTTGACACTTTGGAGAAGATTTCTAATCCCTTATCTTTTATATTCATTGCAATTCAATTATGTCTTCTTTATCTCTTTGTGTTATTCCTTTTGCTATGAGTGAGTAGTCTCCTTATTGGGTTTTAGGGTTCCAAGTAGAGATTCAATGAATTAGTGAATAGAATGTCATGAGGAATTCTCTATCATTAGATTCTTCGATTTACATGTTCTTAATGCTAGAATAGGATTGATCACCCTGTTGTAGATTTTAGGTTTTTCTATGCATCAAAAGTGTTCGATAGAATGCCTGAATGAATGTAAATTGAGCAATGTGTTTCTAGCCAACGAAAGTTGATGTTAGAATGCATTGTGAACGAAATGAACCAACTCGTTAATGCGAATTTAGTAGTTGAGTAGTCGAATTTAGTGGCTAATGTCTTGAAAGAGAACAGTCTAGAATTGTGTTCATAGTTGAGAATGGTTCTTCATTTATTAATTCCTTGTTTCGTTTATCCCGCTAGTCATTGTCTTTTGAAATACCCTAATGCCCAATGTCTTTAATTCATAAGTTTAATCGTTTAATTTACTTGCATTTTTATTTATAATTCTGAAAACCCGAACAAAACACTTTTCGCTTTAGCTAAGAACGAGTCTCGGAAGTCCTTAGAGTATCTTTGGTCCTTGTGGATCGACCTCGAATATACTACCTAGCGGTTAGATATATCGAGCAATTACTCGAGCAATCACATGGAAATAAACAAGAGGTAGACATGAACTCTTCTTTTTTCTTTAACTTTACTCTTCACTTGTTTTTGGGTTCTCTTCATTAATACTTCAGCAATCTCGTAATTTTTTAGGTATCTTCTTTCTCTTTTTTTTTCTCAGTCACAATTTTTAGCAAACAGAGAAATTTTGCTCTTGTTGTTGTTTGGAACGTTTACGAGAATGGCTTTTGTTAAATGTCTATCTCAAAGATTCGTGATTAACTTGTAAATTGTTCTTTCTCTACTTTTTTTTTTGGGGTTTTATAACTAATTAACTGATTTTAAAGTGTTTTAGAACATGGATCTTACTGTTAAGTTTGCAGTTGCAAAATCAAGTTGTTGTTTTTTTTACTGTGCAAGAAAGATTACGAAAATTTATATGATCTTCAGATAATACTTCTATTAAAAATCCCTTTTATTTCTTACTGCACCTGTATTCGTACTTAACACTCAGCTTGTTGACACTTGCAGTGGAGATCAAGATTCTGTAGTTCCATTTCTGGGATCACGAGCTGTCGTACCATCAAAAGACACGTAGTTTGCCTACACACCATCAAACAATCAGCAAAATTCTCAAACTGATTGTGAACTAAATTGTGGATGTTTGGGATTTTGACTAGGTTGGAGGTTGGGCCATCGAGTATGGAAACATACTCACTTTTGCAACAGTGAGAGGAGCGGCTCATGCGGTGGCGAACACGCAGCCCGCACGAGCTCTGCATCTATTCAGCACCTTCCTTCGTGGCCATAGATTGCCCAACAAGACAGATATAGCTATGCATGACTGAAAGAGGAGGAAGCTCATTATTAGTTGCAGCAGCAAGTATAGAAGATTAGCTTAATGCTCCTTGTATTTCCTCCCTGCTTGTAAATGTGCCATTACAAAACCTAAACTACTTAAACTTGCAAGACTTCAGAGACTTTCTCTTTTACTGCAGTCTATACCTCATAAGCAGCATTCTATCAAACACCAGATAGGCATAGGATCGAAGGTTACAATCCATTGATGTCAACAGCTTTTGCACTACCTCAGCACAAGAGTTTATTGCTTGTAAGATCATCTTTGACTGTGTTCTTGAATAAACTCTCGTCTCTGACCATAAATCGGGACAGTTTATTCTCCTCCTCCTTCAGAGGCAATACATCGAACACTTGACATGCACTTTCCATCAACAAAGCAACTTTTTTGGTTCTGGAACTCCACGTTATAGACTTTTAACCCTTTACTAGATTTTAACCCGCGGTACACCGCGAAATTATTTATTTTTTAAAGTTAGTATATATAAAATTTTATAAATTGTATCTCCTTTTTTTTTTTTAACGTCTTGTATTAATTAATCCAAAAGAACAAAACAGTAGTTCATAGGAACAGAGTACAAAAGCAAAAACAGAGTATAACAAACCAGAAAAAGATCAAAACCAGACTTATAAGCCTGACCCACCTTGGCCCTTCCGTCCTCGTCACAAACCGATTTACTTCAACCGTGTCGGCGTTCTTCCTCAAGACGAACTTGTAGCCAAGCTGGTCCACCCGAAGCTAAATAAGAATTAAACCGGCCTTCTCGTGTAACACTACAAGCAATATCTCTAGCCAACGTATTGGCTTTCGGTGAAGAGATCATGAATTTCACATCCCGCATCACCCGCATTACTTGATCTATTTTGATGAGAAGAGACCGGTATTTTGGCCATTGTTGAGGTTGATTCAAAGCCCGTACCGCCGCGTTACAATCAGACCATATTTCACAAGAATGAATACGTACACTATGGAGCTTCGCAGACACCATAGAATACAGAATAATTCTACAGCCACTCGATTAACCATGGGAAGGAAGGCATCACGCGCATGAAGGACAGCATAACCCATATGGTTCCTCAACAACCAAGCACCGCCACAATGTACAGAGTCCTAAATCCAAGATGCATGAACATTGCACTTAAGTCCTCCCCAGGCTGGTTTAAACCACGATTTCTCTATGTAAGACGCTTGTATGTTCCCCACTTTCGCTTTCTGAGACATAATCAAGCTTTGTTGAAGCCATTCCTCTGCCTCCTCCAAAGCCGACGCAATGATTATATTGGAGTTACTGGTCTGCCCTGCAAAAATAGTCGAATTCCGTGCTTTCCATATACCCCATAACAGCCATGGTAACGCATCACGTATGTTCGCAGGCACTGTCATGTTTTTCATCAGGTTGAAGACGTACAACATGTTATCAGCAATTGATTCTGTGAATCCGTGTACTGGTAATGAAAGTACTGCATTTTGCCACACAGAGGTTGCGAGAGTACAACCAAACAGAACATGCGAAATCGTTTCCTCCTGCAACTGGCAAATTTGACATGAAGGGTTAATCATTAGGCCATGGCTCCTCATACAATCCGCAACCGCAAGTGCTCCAGACAAAGATCGCCAAAGGAACATTTGTATTTTAGGAGCTGTTTTCAGGAGCCAAATACGATCCTTAATCTTGTTTAAAGCCTGCAACGCTTCTGTAGTAGTCTCCAACCTGCTAGCAGCGTGAGTCAGTAACCAATTACCACTTTTCACCGAGTACTGCCCATCTTTGGTATAAGCCCAGATATGTCGATCTTCCATACTTGTTACCGGAGGAAATGATCGAATGTGATTAACATCACAAGGTGAGAAAAGCTCATTTAAGAGTGGAGAGTTCCATTCACCATGTATAGTTATCAAGGAACTGACTTTGAGGCTTATATCCATTAGGGATTCTTTGTTCATTGGACGTCTCGGGACTCCATCAAACAACCATTTGTCGATCCATACACTTGTACTCTTTCCATTTCCAATAGCTTTCATGAGGCCTTTTTCAAGTAGTTCTTTCCCGAAAATAATGCTTCTCCATGCGTATGAAGGCCGATAACCAGTGGTAGCATCAAGGAAAGGTTTCTACGGGTAATACCTTGCTTTGAAGACGCGAGCTAGTAAGGAAGTAGGAACATCTAATAATCGCCAAGCTTGTTTAGCAAGTAAGGCTTGATTAAAGTGTCCTATGTCCCTAAAACCTAACCCTCCTTGGGTCTTAGACTTACAAATCTTCTCCCATGAAACCCAGTGCATTTTCTGTTTCTCTTCACTCTCATTCCACCAAAAGTTTTACATAGCACTTGTAATCTTTTGGCATTGGTGCTTTGTCAACCGGAAACACGACATTGCATATACCGGTAATGCTAATGCCACCGATTTGAGGAGTACTTCTTTGCCACCTAGAGATAAGGTCTTCTCATACCAACCACTGAGTCTCGATTTTAATCGGTCTGTTATAAAGCCTAGAAGCTCTCTCTTGGATCCGCTAAAACATTCTGGAGACCAAGGTACTTCCCTGTTCCACCTTCTTGTTCAATTCCTGTAAATAAACCAAGCAATCGTTTCATGTAGGGGTCTAACTTCTTGCCTAAAGTTATCGCAGATTTTTGGAAGTTGATCTCTTGACCCGATGCCCTCCCATATAACCGCAGGCAGCCCAGAAATTCCGTGCATTCCTTGAATGTAGCTTGGCAAATGAAGAGGCTATCATCAGCGAATAATAGGTGTTGAATCAATGGACACAAAGGGGTGAGACACAGTCCCGTTAGCCGCCCTTCTTGTTCAGCTTTATTCATGATGTGAACCAAAGCTTCAGCACAAAGAATAAAGAGGAAGGGCAAGAGTGAATCACCTTGACGAATTCCACTCTCAGGCTTGATAAAACCATATGATGAGCCATTCAAAATTATGGAGTATGAAACCGATCTTACACAGCTCATAATCCACTGAACCCACCGTATATCGAAACCCAATCGGATTAGTAGTTCTTCCAAAAAGTTCCATTCAACTCGATCATACGCTTTAGACATATCGGTTTTTATGGCCATGAAATCCTCATCACATCTTGTATTGGTGCGTAAAGCATGTACCATTTCATGTGCCAAGAGAATATTATCGGAGATTAATCTACCCGATACAAAAGCGCCTTGCGTGTCAGAAACAATGACTGGAAGAAAGACCTTCAAACGGGAGCAAAGGATCTTAGAAACAATCTTGTAAATTATCGAACATAAACTGATAGGGCGTAGGTCTGTCATTCTTAATGGATTCGGCTTTTTCGGGATTAAGCAAATCTGTGTAAAATTCCATTCATGAGTAAGAGAACTAGACTGAAAAAATTGTTGAACTTCTGTGATGACTTGTGTACCAACAATATCCCAATAAGCTTGATAAAAAAGACCCGACATCCCATCCGCTCCCGGAGTACTGTCTCCGCGTATACTGAAAGCCGCACTCTTGATTTCTTCAGCCGTGACTGGTCTTGTAAGCTGAACATTCATATTTGCTGTAACCCGTGGTAGCATGCCTTCAAGAGCTTCTGCTACATAGTCCCGTTTGGAGCTGGAAAATAGCTTACGGAAGTATTCAAGAGCTATCTCTCCTTTAGATCCTTCAGCAAATTGCTCTACGTCAGTATTATCAAAGAGTGACAGTATACGATTCTGTGCCCTTCGCTTCTGCACACTTCCATGAAAGAATTTCGTATTTCTGTCTCCTTCTTTTAACCATCTTTCACGACTTTTTTGTTTCCAATATAATTCTTCTGCACGATAAGCTTCAGCCAGTTCCCATTTTAATGATGTCAATAAATTGCGGTTTGGCTGTGTCTTGACGCCCTCTTCTTCAAGTCGTTGACGTAAATGTTTGATTTTCTCTTTAGAATTCTGATTGGATATTCTCTTCCTGATTTCCGGCAATCAGAAGTCCTTTGTAACCTGCAGCTTCACCTTTATTCCATCCTTCTTTGACAATCCTAGCAAAGTCTGGCTTCAATATCCAGCGTTTATCAAACATAAAACGTCCAGACCTAGTCATGTTTTCATTCACAAACCGTAAGAAGAGTGGTCTGTGATCGGAACCAATACGTTCAAGAAACTCCACTTGAGCTCGGGGAAAAATATAAAACCAAGCAGCATTCCCAAGTGCTCTATCGAGACAACATTGTATCCATTGATTGTGTCGATCTCCAGCCCATGAAAATCTATTGCCAATGCTGTGGACCTCTCGTAGACGGCAATCACTAATCACATTCCTAAAGGGAAAGAAAGTAGATTCCGTCCGTGCTGGTCCACCAAGCTTCTCCGTATTATCCATGATTTCGTTGAGATCACCTAGCACTACCCATGGTTCATTTCTAGCAGTGCTAATATCAATGAGTTTGTCCCACACTGCTTGTCTTAGATACGTAGCTGGATCTCCATAAACGCAGGAAATGAAGAAAGAGAGAGATCCAAGTTTCACCTTCACATCTATGATTCTATGATCCGAATTGATCACTTCTACATCATATAAGTTCTTCCAAAATAAAGCTAAGCCTCCACTTAGGCCAACGGGATCAACTATGTGTGAAGAGTCGTATCCCATCCATCTCTGTACTTTTAACACGTGACTACTGGAGTTTTTCGTCTCCATGAGGAACAAGAAGTCCGGGAAATGCTCACGCCTCATTTCCCTCAAAGTAGGAACTGTCAAAGTGCCCCCCAATCCTTGACAGTTCCAACTCATAAAGCTCATATTTGACTCGGCAGTTCCTCACTCGGAACCGCCTTTTCTGCATCGCGTTTAGCAAGTTTTGAAGCCACTTCAGCCTCCACTATCACTGCCTCAGGTGTCTTACGCTTCACTAAGACTCCTTCGTCTCCTGTCTTCTCTTGGCTCGTAGCTGATCCATCTCTCAGCTTATAAATTATTTATGTTTTATAGTTTATAATTATTATCAAGTAACGGTATATCACGAGTTCACGGAACAATAATAAACTAAGGATTTAACTCGTATTAAAGTGGCATATTAATGATATTTTAAAATTTTATAAATATTGATTCAAACCCGT